TCGACCAACATGCTATATTCTCCAAACCTCGGCACGATGCCCAAAGTGCAACCTTTTCAAACCACGGAACGTGCCAGACCAACTTGCACCGCCCGAGCACATCTGGGATTGAGGACACACAAGTGAACCAAAAGAGAGCTCCCCACCGGGCACTTGCATGGCTACAGCTGTGGATGTCTACCCGCCGTGATGGAATGAGGCCCCAGCTCGAAGCCCCGGGCAGGATCTTGCCGTTCTTTGCAGCTTCCTGTTGTGCCTGCTCCCAGCCTTCGGCGGCTGAGACTTTTGCGACTAGCTGTGCACATTGTGGAGAAGAACCTTCGCAGCAGCACCCCTCCCCGCAATGTCCGGTGGTCGGAGCCTTGGCGAAAGAGCGCGCTCAGCGGGATACCTTCTGCGTGTCGGACAGTCGAACCTCACAGCTGCCAATCTTGAGGAAAGCAATTGCGATTGAAAGGCAACGGCATCAAGCGCGAAGACAAGTGGACAAAGGCACTCAAGAAAAGAGTAAGTTCGAGAATGACTCTGCGAGATGCAAGTGCCGCGTGCTGAGGATGTAGAAATGCGAAGCCGCAAAGCTGACTTCGGAAAGCTGAAGGGCACACTTCGGGTTTCTCATGAACGGTGACCAAAGTCTAAGACTACAAGTACTACTCTCTCTGTCAAAAGTTTGTCTTAGTGCTAATCATCGGAAACCACAGATTGAAATACTGGTGTCTACGCCTACGTTAGTCTTCATCAACACAGTTCCGGGTGGGAACGGATCCCAGGGAAATATCTAAGGGTTGAGGTCACACCCCTTTGGATGGATCCTGTCAGTTGTGGGGACGGCTGCAGGCACTCTTCAGGTTGAAGAAAATTTACTCACAGACTGGATGTCTTGGGCGCCTTGAGCTGCTGTTGTTTTTGGACGTTCGTGCCGATGCAAGGTCCACGAAAGACACAAAAACACCAAGCATGACTTCGCTGCTGGGGCCACTAAGGCAATGGTAGGTGCAGGGCTGGCCGAGATCGGGAGCTTCCCGATGGGCGCTGGGGGAGCGCTGGGCTCCGTGCCTCGCTCCAACATGAGGTCTCCCTATGAAAAGCCGAGAGTAGGGGGGCCCACGTTCCAACTTGGTCCCCGAGCTGGCAGTGGCTGTGGATGCCGTGGAGGCGGCGGCCTGCGCGTTCTGCTGCTGGGTGCGCTCCCAGCCTGAGCCGAGACGGAGCCCTTGCACACAAAAGTCCAAGCTCTTTCTTTTGGGGGAATATAAGCATCTGTGCGCCTTGTCGAAAGAGTGCGGCTAGATTGGCGTCGTCGCCATGTCGGACGGTCCCGCCTGCAACAGCAATCATACCAGGCAATGTCCAGCCCTGACAAGTCAACCGACCGATCAGGTGTTCATCTTCAGTGCAGGTTTCGAACATGCAGACTCACACAGACACAGCCGTCTGACTGTAAGATGAGCCTGAAGAAGGATCGACATCGAGCAGGTTTTGAGTTCCAGCCTGCCCACGTGCTGGTCGTCTCACGCTCGTGTTCCACAGCCTCACAGAGGAGTCAATGGCTGCTTCTTGCACTTCCACGTTTCTGCCAAGGCTCTGGCCTTAGCGACCTCAGACTCCGGTGCCGGCCAAGGTGGGTCGGCCTGCCATGAAAACCCCCTTCCAGGATCCTTGACACCAACCCTAAGTCATTTTGCTGGGATGCCTGCGGCAAGGAAGCGAGCAGCGGAGCTTTCTCCTGGGAGGCGGTGCTCTGCCGCGATGGCTCTGGGCCAGCCGGGGTCTCCTGACAGGGGCCCACTCCGGCGCGGAAGGTGTGACTCCCCTTACGTAATTTCTTGATAAAATTGCAACGCAACCAGATTCAAGAAACGCTGAGGAACCTGCGATGCCCTTGCTACATGCTGTTAATGAGCAGTTGATCGGCTGTGACAGTTTGGTGCCTGCTGAAGCACCGGCGGGAGCGAAGTGCCTCTCGGCCTGGTCTTGGTCAGGTCCCGAGACGCTGCTTTGTCATACGCCCTAAAGCCTTCCAGGCCTTCCGTTGTGATTCAACGTCTGCGGCAGCTTTCTCCTGCAGCTGCGGCAAGCTAGAAAAAGATCGTCCCAAAGGATGCTGGAAAAAGCAGTGCGGTGAAAACACCCCACGGCCGGACAAGAAGTTCGCCAAGATCGCCGAGGCCTGAAAGTGTGGCCCACAGTGACTGGTGCATTGTAGATCTCGGCTGTCTTGTGCAGCTTTCTCCTGTCATGAGTTATGCGACAGAGACATAGACCTAGAACCCAAATTCACACCGCATGGCACACAGATGCACACAGAACTTATGCAAGCATGAAACGAAGCTCGCGCAGACAGACACCAGCAAGAACCAACGATGCCCAGGAGACATGGCCAGTGCTTGCCGCTGCTTGGCAGCCAATGGGGAGGTCGACTCCTTCGACGCAGTCGGAAACTTCGGAGCTAGCGATCCAGCGGCAAACTTCCGCAGTATCCGACCGCCAGGCATGCATTCAGCTCCAACCCGGACGGCTTCCAGCTTGGGTGGACCTCGGGCTTGTTCGCCTCCTCCGCTTTGGGCTGCGATTCTTTGCTGAGGCACCTGAATTCGAGAGCGCAGGCAATGTACTGAAGCATCAGCCGTGCAGGGACTGTGAACGCCTCTGCACTCCACTATCCACGTTCTTGATCCCGAGAACTTGTCATGGGGCAGTTTAACATGGTAGTACCTTGCAATCTGACAGCCAGGCTTGAGATCGATGCTATCTGGTTCCATCCCGCGTGTTGCGGAAACCGGGGGAAATGGGAAAAGACAGATAATACGCATTCCCCGAAATGTGCAGTGTAAACTGTGTACGTAAACTGCAATGTGAGGTTCAACGTACTACGATCTTTCAACAAAGTGCTCCGACTCGGCCATGCCTGGTCGACGCTGGTGGCGACCGGCCTCTTGCAGGCCGTGCCTTCACAGAATGCCACGGGGCTCGAGGAGACATAGGCCTGTACAGAGTATGATTCAGAAGGCTTAAAAAAAAAGCGAGATCTTGATCAACACTACGAGTGCTGTATCGTGCGATCGATAATCCTATCCAATATCAGGGCATTGTTGTTATTGTCCATGTTGCTATTTTGATTGCTTCTCGGAGCCTGTTGCCAGGCTTTCAGCCCTTGTCGCCGGTTTGAAGAAGGCAGCACCGTTTGATGAGGAATCCAATCCCAAACACGTTCCCATGGGTGAGAAGAGTTGCCATTTGCCTGTGGGCTCTTCGAAAGAGCGAAGAGAGGAATCTCAAGTCGAACCGTTCTGCAACGGCCGCTGCAAAAAGTTGGTGGCATACCGCCTACACCCGCAAGACTGTCACGCGTAACCCAGCACTCACATGCACCTTGCCAAAGTCCTGAAGGGAGTTCCAAATTTAGCTTTAGAGCGCAGCTTAACCGGATTGCGTAAAGGGAAGGAGTAGCAGTAAGCATGCGACTGTTTTGCGTGCAATTTCGAATGGCTCGAACTGTCGTCAAGCGAACCTTGGAAACCCTGCATGAGAATCATCCGACAAGAGACTGTCGCTGTTCGATCCTTCGGATGCTCCAAGCCGAGATCCGCACGTTGCATGGAAGAGGCTTCAACTCGGACACCCGTCGAGCCTCGGAGTCTTGAAGAGATCATCCTCTCAGTCTCGTGAAGCTGAAAACCGTGGCCCTCGCCGGAAGCTCACGGCGTGTTTCCGCCTTCCAGAATGGCCGGCGCCGAGCATAGCAGGAACCTGGCCAGGAACCCGGAGAGACTTGTTGCCTCCCAGGGCAACCATTTTCGACCCAAGACGGCTCAATGGGATACTTCGGGTGCGGATAGTCTGCTTCTTTACAGGGATACTCTGAACAGATTGATGCAACATCATCCGCTACTTCAACCTCCGAAGGATGTCGGCGTCTGCAATCACCAAGCCATACTCAGAGCTCCTGTTTACTGCATCTTCGATGCATGTCATAAGACACCAAAAGCCACAGCATTGCCTGTTGTTCCCGATACCCTCCCTACACGAAAGCACCATGTATTATATCACTATATTGAGTCGCTTCAGCCTGCCGATCGCGGCACTGGTGGGGCCGATGGGACCTTCAAAGACTTCGGACCCCCACTGCTTCTCGCTTGGCTGCGACTCCACTTCCAATTTTAGACAGAGCTCTTGCGAGCAGCTCACATGCAAAGGACAGCAAACTGAGCTGCACCAAGCCTTCGATGCCGGCTGCGCAGTGGCAACAGGAACAGGAGCCTGGACATGCACCGGCGAGCACTGCTGAGCGGGGACTGGGCCGATCTGAAGAACAATTCTCCTTCGCGAAAGCCCCACGTCTCCAAGGGCCCCTTCTCAAAGCGTCTGGCGTTGTCCCCTTCTGGTAGCTTTGACGACCTGAGGTTCGAGAGTGGGAGCTCAAGCTGGCACACAAAGGCCGAAGACGCTCGGCATCTCTGCACTTGCAGCATCTTTCTTGAGGCCGCTGCTTGAAGGGACCTTGCGAGTTCGATGTTGGCTCCGTCTCGCGCCTGGCTGTGCTCTCAACACACAAGGACGCCCTAGACACTGCGCATGGCAAGCCAACTTCGGATGAAGCTCGACGCGGCAAGGGTCGACATAAGGCCGGCCTAATCAGATTCTTCACCTTGCGGCGGAAGCCTGAAGCGGCCTAGAAGCCAATTCTTGGAGTTCTGCACATTTTCCCACGAACAAGAGCAGCAGGCCTCCGGCGGGGCCACCGGAAGCTCTTTCTTGCCGGGGTCATCAGAGCGCATCGCAAGATGTCGACTTAACGATCGATTGGTGGCTTCACTACAGACTGGTAAGCTTTCTTGCTAGGTCCTGCTTGGTGTGCTGTGGTCTGGTTGGCCCCGGAAGGCTTCGAGCCGAGAGGCTGACGAAGGGGCCGGGGGGGTGCCTGGCTCTGCCCTGCTGCACCACATGCCCCCTTTCGTTCATTTTCCGCTTGCGATGCCCGATTCTTTTACTTCGCAGGCTCACTCGAGGTCCAGTAACTCTGAGACCTCACGACACGAGAGCTGCAGTTCACCGTGGAGGGCAGCCAATCGAGACGGCCCCAAGACACTCCATAGCACCCCCAAGATTCCTGCGTGGGCCTTCCAGTCCTCGTACGTGTTGTCCGGCAGGAAGCGGCGGATCACGAACGGGATGACGCGCTGAAGTAGCTCCTGGTGAGGTCGGTCATGAGAAGCTACTGTAGGAAGGAACCTTGATGGATCGTGAAGATTCTTGGACATGTAACCACGAGCAAGCTGGTGCGACATGTCCGCTGGAAACCAGGAATCTGCTTCCTGTCCTTCTCGGCGATCAGGAGCGGGTCGGTCTCACCCTCAAGAGTGACCATCACTGGCGCCTTGATTCAAAAAGCTTGACATGCGAACCACCTCCAGAGACACAACTTTAGATCACAAGACGTACCCTTAGCATCTGCACTGTCTACAACGCAATTTGCCGAGGCCCAGGCATTCATGCTTATCTGCAATGCCCGTGCACCAAGGATCCGTGCCCCTTGGCTAACACTGCACTGATGCAAGATGATGCAAGCTTCACCTTCCACACATCGCGGTGCGAATAGTTTCCTGGCTTCCGATAAGGCATGATCTCCTGCTCTGAAGTCTAGGTCTAGGAGTCCCGAGGGATGACTAGTCCATACGTTGCTACACCACTAGGAAGACTCCTGTCGGTGCAGTTCTTGCCTGGGGTCTGCGCTTTCGTACTTTGTAAGGTACGGCGTGGTCTTTCTCGGGCCCTCGGAAGCCTGCCAGGCCAAGCTGGCAGAGCGCAACGCAAGCCCTCGCCGCCCGGGCACCTGAGCGCCTACCTCATGTAGCTTCGTTTTGAATGTAAAGAACCTCCTCCTATTGCTGCACTTCTGGCAGCGCAGGCCTTTGGCTTCTCCTCCTGTCCAGGGGACGTGTTGAAGAGTGACGGGGAGCTCCACTCGCAGACGCAGATTCGGACTCAAGGCAGGTGCTCGGGCTCCGGATTCTCGTCTTCTCGAACTTCCACATTCTCGTCCTGCAAGAGGCCGGCATCTCAACTCAGGTAAGGTCTCTGAGGGTCTCCGCTGCAGAAAAGGCAGCCGCCACAATGGCACCCGAATATCTGCGCACCTCACTCAGCATCCAAGCTTCCTACCGGGCCTCTTCCATGTCGTCCTCCTCATCGTAGTCCTCACCCTCGTCTTCCTGGCTGGCTGAGACCTATCCTCTGACTCTCCAACAGTTCTGCAAGGTCTCAACTTCATGGTTCATGAAGCAACCGGCAGCAATGCGAGCAGAATCGACCTGGCCATCTTCCATGCCTGGGGCCTCGGGCTTTGCTCGAAATGTGCCCACGTCAGACGCTGAGCTCAACTTGCTGAGCCACCAGCTCGGCTTCCAAGCACGGCACAGAGGCAGATACAGTCCTACTTGACTTGCTCTATGGCTCTACACGTGCTCCAAGCTCTACACGTGCTCCAAGCCAAGTGTCTGGTTTGGTTGCTTTGCGGCCATCGTTCGTGTTCTTCCCCGGCGCTGAGCCAGCCTAATTGCTGCACACCTCATACAGAAACTCCACGTCATCTACCATGTCAGGCTTTCAACTTCTTGGCACTCAATGCTGAAACATCACCTATTTTCGACGGGTGCAGGCACCTGCATACCTCTCGTTCGCATCTACGAGCTTCTAAGAAGACCTAAGGTTTGCGCTTTTGCGCGCACACACGGTTGAAACTCGGAGCTTGTTAAGCTGGCCGCAAGCGCAGAATAATCACAATTGGTGCCAGTACATACTTCAGGCACAGGCTGCAACTTCCAGATTCCAACTTTGCAATATGCATCTCACGGGCATAGGTGCCACGACTATCTCTCGACTCGACATTTGGGTCGGAGCACTCCCCCCGCAGACATCGTCTTCTGCTGAGACGATGGGGCGACGATACTGGGAAGCTCGGTGCACTAACGATTGAGCTCAAACTGTGAGGAGAGAACGCTGCAAAGGTACCGTGTCTGCCTATGCCTCAAGTGTGCCTGGGTAGTTTTGCGCACGCTCGTGGAAGCAGCGCAGTTGTCGCTCCTCCGTTTCAGCGTGAAACGTAGTGGTACATTCTGCCTTTCAAATGATATGGAAAATAAAGAGAAAAGCGAGCTTGGCAAGAATGCCGCGCCGCTTGGGGAGGGGGGCACGGCCTGAGGCGGATTTGGCCCAGCTGGACCAGCTCCCTCCCCGAGAAGTGCTCGGTATCCATCTTCGAGGCGATCTGGGCGGGCGCGTGAGAAGGCTCTTCTCAGAGCGGTTCTTAGGCCGTGGTGAAGTAGTACCTCGAATTGCTCCGATTCTGGGCTGGATGGTTGGGCAGCAATTGTGATTGGATCTAGGCCTCACTGGAACTCTTTCCCCGGACCAACTCCAGCACACAATCTGAGATGTTCATCACGCAGACACCTCCGACAAATTCACCACCCCTGACCCCAAATGGTTAGCTTTGACTTCAAAACACCATGTAACGGAAACAACCTGAGACTAGCAGTGGCCACCGACCCACAGCACAAAGCGTCGGCATGCGAGAACCCCTATATGCAGTGAACTGTTTGGTGAATTAACAAGAACCGAACGGCAAACTACAAGTAGGCTTGACCACCCCCATCAGTTCCACATGAATAGAGACAAGGGGAGACCTGCATCGAAATTGGCCACCCCTACCAGTTTTGCAGGAGGGGAGGAGGCAATGGGAGACAAGCCTCGACATTAGCCTGTCGCAAATCATGCAGACAAGACGCGACAAGGGAGGCGAGCGCGGAATAACCGCGGGATATGCCACTCCCACCGGTCTCCAATGGAGGGCGACAACGGAACACAACTCGTGTAATCGCATTCAGAATTTTCCTCACCGGCCCCAAATGAAGTGAGGCCAGGGAGACAAGTGTCGAAAACCCCGATGCACCCCGCACGAAGCGAATCCCCGGCATCTGTGTTCCAACTAGCAAGAACTCCTCCAGCAAACTGTTTTACGGGGAAACCTAAATGAGGAGTAGAAGGATACCCCTACAATAATGAAGCTCTTCTATTCAAGGGGAAGTTCTTGCTGCCGGGGCTGCGAGTTGCTGGCTCCGAAGGCAGGCACGAGGTTGGTCGCTGGGGAGGCGTCCTGCGCAGGATCGTCGCGTCTGAAGACTGGGGACCTGAGGTTTCCCTATTTTGAAGCATCGGGATCTTCTTGTTGTCTCTCCCCAAATCTTATTTTCAAGGATCACTTCCGGTCCGTCAGGACACCCGCCACGAAAGACACGTACCTTGGCTTTGGCAGTGTGGTGAGCAAGCTTTGCATTCTGGAGGAGCCCACGGCTGGATCAAGGCTGACCTAGTCGCCTCTCCACTCTCCTCAACTCACGGCCTTTACTCTATATCCACTCTATATCCAATATCATTCACAGTTCAAAGAAAGGCGGCCAGTTCATTGAGGTGGACAGCGGGCTTGAAGCACCGCAGGAGGACCAATCCACCTGGAAACTCTCTGACTGAGTCATGACCGATGGAAGGGGATTGAAAAGAGAAAACCTAGACCTAGACTCTGTGGACAGCTTGAGAGACACTTCTCGGCAAGGGCTTGCGGTGTCCGTCTCAGGTACCCATGGCGACCCCTCGTTTTACGAAGACTCCGGCCGTGAAAGTCGTGAGCACGATGCTGAGCTTCGCAGGCGCACATGTTCCGGTGTTGACCTTGACATTGAAGACTCTGCACACAAACAAACACACACACACACACCCGCACACACACACACACAACGCACGCACACAGGTGCGGTCCTGCGAACCCTTATAGGACTACACGTAAGTTGTGTCACTTCGCTGAGCGAGTGTGGAGACAGCCCTTTCCGAGGCTAGCAGCATTCGAGATGTCCATGGAGATGGGGCTCCCCGTCCTCGCGAGGTGCCAATCCCTCTGCTGGACTGAACACCAGGCAGAGCCATGCTGAAACCCCAGAGTCTGGACGAGAAACTCAAACCTCCCAACTGGCATTTAACATCATCCAAGTCGCTGCGGCGTGAACACGACATTGCCACTGCCGGCCTGACCACTACGTCCCCCGGAAGTGCCCACTCCCTCGGACAATCGGTCGGACATTCTGCATGTCCCGCACCACTGAAGCATATCGATTCCACACGAAAGTAAAGCCTGTCGAAGACTTTTTAGGGACGGGTGGGTAGGCAGCGGTTTATGCAGGCCTGGATGTCCTCGTCGAAGACAATCCTTTGCTCCGCTGAGTGGTGCGACATGGACTCATGCTCCGGTTGTTTTCGGAACCGACTCTGTTCTCCAAGGCTCGTGAAAGTCGGCTTGCTGAGTACCCCGGTCTGCTGGTGTGCAGGAGATACCTGGCAGATGTGAATCTCTAAAACACCCACCTTGATTTGTTCAGAAGCTTTTGGCGCACCGACACCACGGAGGGTGGTGTGGAGTCGCCCATGGTGTGGATGTCGCGCTTGGTCGTGAGGACCTGAGGCAGAGGCCCTGGGGTCTCCGAGGAGGGACTGCTTCCTCCGCCTTTGCGATACCCCGGGCACATGCACAAGCTCGAAATGTGTGTAGGTCCTTTGCGAGTGCGATTGAACGACATCGATACTGTGGTAGCCTAAAGGCCCGAACATCTCCGATTGCGTGTTCCTCGTCCGCAGGCCTGTCTGTACTTACGGAACTGGACGTATTATGCTTGTTGTTTGCTCATCCTGTCCGGTACCTTCAAACTGACTTACACGCTTCGACTGGAGCGTCGAGAAGCAAGTCGGCCGAAGAGGTCTTGTTTTCAACAACAGCAGCAAAGGTAGATGCCGTGTCGGCTATGTCGATCGAGTGAAGAAGCGAAACTCGCTCCACTAGGCAACATGAGGCTTTCTGGTTTCGTCGAGGCCCAGGCATGTGCCGAATCCACATCGTTTCCAGGGTTTCCTCCACAGAAGGCAAGAACGTCATTGGATTGAGGTGGAGACTTCGAAAACATCTCTTACCACCAAGATCCCATTAGCCTTTGCCTTCCGCAGTCTTTACTCGTTTGATTTTACCGTATACCCTGGTCGAATGCAGACTGCTACCTCGTGATCCGGGTGACCTGGTTGTCGGGGTGTAGTGTGTTGTAACGGCAGGCTTAACCATTGAAAAAACATTCCAACAAACGAAATATTGATGTTAGACATGCAAATGTACTGGCTGCGTGATGCTGGCCTGCAGAAAGCCCCACGTCGACCTCCGTGCCCCGATCACGAGCGTGACAGTACACGTCGTACCTCTGCTCTGCACATTTCAGCAGAAGCTTGTCAGCATGGAGGCTCCACATGGCACTGATACAGTGCAGGTCCAAGCTTTTTGGCCGCGCCCCTGCCTAGCAGATTCTCGCAGGCTCCTAAACAGCCTGAGCCTCGATTCGACGTTGAAATCGCGGCTGCAAAAGAGAGACGAGGTTAAGCATGACAAGAAAGATTCACAGCATCAGCTGACTTCCGACACCGGAGGGTGACCTCGGGCCGTGCAGGCCCTCACATCTTCGAAGCAGCGATGTAGGAGCGGCAGGAGGAAGCGCTGACCTGGCGGCTTCTGAAACCACACGTTGCCGTCGCGGAAGAAGCATCAAACTCGGAGCCACCGGAGCGCCTGCCAGGCTCCGCCCGCCATCACGGCCTCTGCCACAAGCGGCGGTCCCTGGTAACACGAAGCTTCCGGGGCAGCGTGGCCTCGATCTCCTCCACGGTGCGGGGAACGCAGGTGAGAACGCGGCAGCCATTGCTCGTGATCACGACCTCAGGGAGCGTGGACAACAGGCGGAAGGCCGCGCCGGTTGTTGGCGTCCTAGATCCGATATGCACAAGTTGGAAATCTCGCTCTGATGAAGCTCAGCTGAGCACACCCAGCGGACGTTGTAAGTTAGATTAGACACTTGTTCGTGTCGAGAGCACCAGCGACCAGTTTCGAGTTGTTCTTGCAGCTGGACAAACTGGCATCCAAGGCACGTTGTCCTCTATCCGCACCCCGCCGACATCTGCCCAGAACTGGTGGAGCTTCTCCTGCAACGGCCACTCAACGAAAAAATGGCTAGAGTGCCCATGGTCCCATCGGCGGCACACCTGGTTGATGAAGCATCCCTTCTTGGGATCTGCCAGGGCTTCCTCAATGAGGTAATCAATAAAGTAGAAGCCAGGCTCCACTGTGATCACCTGAGAAGTGCTCTCTGGCTCTGAACCGTCGCCTCTGGAAAGAAAAACATCAACTGTGTTCAAGCTCAAGTCTAGCAAGGCACCATGTTCTCCTTCAACTCCCTGCCTAATCTCAGATTCTCCTTGATGCTGGGATCGTCCTCCAGAGGCTGCAACGTCTGCAAACAAGGTTGACGTATGTTGACGTCCTGAGGGAATGCCGAAGGATTCCAAGGCCATCGAAATGGCTGAGCCACTGAAACTTCCCTGACGGAGCAGTGAAGTCCTCAGAACGCCCGGTTTGCCGGTCCTTCCGCACCACACCAGGCGGGTAGCCGCCCACGTCGTGGACATCTAGTCCCAGTTGGTGACCCAGACCATGCGGCATGAAGTGGAACATGAGGCCTGCGGGGATCTGGGCTCAGTGCCAAAAGGAAGTCGCAAGTCGGAAAATGTCATAAACACTTTCCACAAAGCCACTAAGCACCGACTGTCCAGGACTAGGCAGACCTCCAGCGGAAAACAGGCACCTTCAGCCATCATTTCCTCGACTTGGCCAACCTTACACAGGAAGAGCTGGAGTAAAGACAGTTCCGCGCAGAAGGCGTAGCTTTGTACTCCTACCCACCCCAGTTGAAGTGAAGGAAATGCCGCCTTCTGGAAGCCATGCAAATTCCAACCCTCACAAGTCCGCTGACTTCCCAACCCCAATCTGCCAGGGGGCAAAAAGCCCAGCCGCCGACATTCGCTCTAGCAGCGTTCGTTGCGCAAGCCGGTGCATCTCCTCATGCTCGTACGGATGTTTGCAAGGAGCTTAGCCGACAACGCTTGGGATGAAAGCCTTGTAGGAAACACCGGGTTTCAATGCGCGCTCCACGGCCAAGACGGTTTCCCACACTGCCTGGGAGTCAATTGCATAGGCAGCCACAACGTGAGCTTGAAGCGGTGCCTTGTAAGAACAGCATTACTGTACTGAACTGTAGCCATGGCAACAACACGATGTCAACAACAGAGGTGGCATGACGGCTTTGATCGCGACATTACTCATCACAATCAACGCAAGAATAATAAGCCATGGCAAACAAAGAATGCAAAAATTGAAAGACAAGCAGAAGACAAGCAAAGCCCAGAAGCGGATGGCGAATGGTGGCAGTCGGTAGGTGTCTATGTCAGCATTGAGTGATATATCTACACTGAAAAATATGCATATGAGCTGCATATGCATATACATGTTATACCTATGCATATACTACACATACGCATAGATGCACATCTATACTCTTCATGAGTGGGGTATTTTCAACAGTACAGAAAATACCAGGAATATCACAGCATATGGGCCAAATGCTGAGGAGGCTGAAGTAGCTAAGAAATACTCAGGAAAACTAAGAAATGCTGAAACAAGCTAAGTGAAGCCAAATAATTCATGGCTCCTGGTCAATGGAGCAACAGTAAGCAAAACTTACCAAAACCGAATAATCCCGACACGAAGCAAAGCTTGGAAAACATAGCAACAGTAAGGAAAGCATACCAAAAACACAGAAAACCAAAACACAAACTAAGAAAATACAGAAAAGCCTGGACAAAACCAGAAAAATCCTAGAGCAAGCTGGAGAAAACTTGAAACAAAAACACTACTGTAGAAAAAGCTGGAAACAGCTAAATAAATCCTAGATTTCGGGGTTGCTCTTGGGCGGCTTTTATTCATCTTCTAGCATGGATTCTCAGCAAAGGATTTATCTTGGAAAAGTTTAGTTCCCTTGCTCGTTGTCTACCCGTGAAAAAGCCTCCGACATAAAGGCAGCAGATGAGCATGCTAGACATACACATGTCACATAGACGTACACATTACACATACATATACGCACACGTACATGATGTAACCCATTACAGAATAGGTATAGGTATGGATACACATAAAAGTAAACATTTGCAAATAAGCATACCGTCTCTAAGCGTGCACGTGTACCTTTGCATGCAGGTGCCCCTGCACTGTATACGAAGAAGAAGCTCAGGACGAAATCACAGTATCCAATCCCTTATACAGAACTTGCGAAGAAACCTAGTATTTCCAAAAAGGATACCAAAACCCAGAATGGAACAAAGGATCACAGGACGCTGCAATCAACATGCTGCAAGGCAAACTGGCAAGCTATACCCGTAAATATGCCGCACCGCAACACATAGATGGTAGAAGACCGGAACCCGATACTAACATTAATTGAATTTCTGGAGATATACGCAGGAGTTCTGTGCATGCGCACGTGCACATGTACATGCATATGTTCTGCATGCTCGCCCGGGCAGACAGACAGGAGGGATGGCGTTGCACCCACACAGGTTGAAACTCTAAAGGAGGGCCTCGTAGACCACGCGCTGTGGTCCGCTGAACCGTCCACTCCTGGGGCTCTCGGAAAGGTCCCGACATAGCGAGGCACTGAAGCAAAGGCTTCTGGTTAAGAGGCTGAAAAGATTCCATATGAACGAGCTGTTTCCCCCAACCCTGAGAGCAGCTCAGTTGATGAAAGAGATGTTCTGGGTGCCCCTTGTAGGTGCAACAGACTTCTGCTTTGGAAGCTGCTACTTTTATTCTGAACACTCTATAGGTCTATAGATCATCTAACAGATTGCGCTCCCTCCTTATCGAAGTCTTCAAGAGCCCCTGGGCATTGCAGGCAAGCTACACTGGCCAGGAGCAGGTTACATCGGCAGTGTACCCGTGGTATTCTGCCCCTTAGAAGCACTCTCTCTGGGCTTTCAGCATTCCAAATAAGCACTGACCAGGCGCTGCCGTCTCTCAGCCTCCAGCCCATGTCAAGCAGTCTTAGGGACCCTGGCTCCACAAGCCTCATTGAGGCCATGTGCGACGCAGGGGGCAACGGCCGTCGAAGAACTGAGCCGAGGCACTCAGAGTTTGGCTCGGCCGCGTGGCCGTAGTGGAGGATAGCATTCCCTGGGCTCCGCACTGTGCACCCGCGGGCAAAAGGCGCTGAAGCCTCCGCGCATTTCAGCCGAGCAGCGCCTGCCAGAGCCACAGATGCAGCTGTAGCCCACGCGGAAGCAGCCGCGCAAGGCCGCCTGGGACGGAAACCGGAAAGGATGCATGGAAGCCTCCAAGGGCAGAACGGACCCCGCCTTGTACTTGAAGGTGGCCTCTGCCAAGTGCTCCCGTTGACCGCCCTTCACCGCCCGCATGGTCTCAACGTGTGCCTCCGAGGACACATCGTTCGTCCACCTGACACGCAGCCAACAGCTTGGAACTTTGCCTGTGCTCTTCCCCAGCACACAAGAGAACAGCCATCAGGAGTGAAGCAGGGGACAATCTTGGCTGCATCGGCTGCAGGTTACCACTTCTCAGGGTCAAGGTGCTGGAGCAGCTTTAGCTCCTCTTCGTCCTTCACCTGCCAATGGCACATGTTCGCTACATCGAGCCATCAACGACCGCGATGAAGATCCTGGAACATCATGATGGGAAACCGAAATCTGGGAGCACGGCTGAGCGAATTTCGTTCAGCTCATCCCACAGCGCGCTGCTGCCTGCAAGATGTAGACTTAAGGCTGGGCATGCAGTGTGCAAGGAACACATAGAAACTGCATCAACTTTCGCCTGTGCTGTTGAGTTGAAACGTATCCTGCGCGGCATGCACTGAGCACCCGTCCCACAGACAAGAGCATGCTCTCAAAGCACTTGAAGGATCTCATGCCCAAACACCATGAAAAACCACGTCAACTTGACATTGCCTGTACTTCTTGCGAGCTGATGAGTCCTTGCCATCGAAAGTCGGCTCTTCCAGTTGGAGACCGGAGTCCTCGGTGCAATCCGGACATGCAGACATGCACGTACCCCCCGCGGTGGCCCCCCCCCGCGGTGGCCCCCCCCCGCGGTGGCCCCCCCCCCCACAGTGGTAGAAACCCTGTGCGGACTAAACGTCCAAGGGTCTCTGTTGGGCGACCCACGGAAGAAAAGAAGCTCCTGGCAAGGAGGGGCCGATCATGGCCAGTCTTCCTCTTTCTGATCCACCCTCTTACAGGAGCCGTGGCCTTGGCCCCCAACCCGAGCAATGTCTGCTGGATCTCATCAGTGTGTGCCACCTGGCACTGTGTTCATTGCTCCCTACTCTGCCGCAGCTCTTTGGAAGCTGTCACCTTCCCCTGAACCAGGAACCGAGGAACAGCAAGGACCTGTCGGCTGCGGCCTCGTCGATGCTGTAGGCTTTCTGGAACCAGGCCTTGCATAAGGGCTGTGCACCACTTCTGAAAGCCGTGGGACCTCTTCAGATACTGCCAAGCCCTGCACAAAGCAAACCCCCCCCCTCCCTCACATGCGAAGATTTTGCCCGGGCACCGGCGGCTTGATGGGACCACACCAGGCCTGGTAGATTTTGTCCATCCTGGCAACGTCTTTGGAAGAGGGCTTCCGAGAAAATAGATGCCAGGTCAGCCTATGTTCTGTAGGCTCAGCCCAAAACTTCTGTTACCTCGTCCAAAGCAAAGTACGTCCTGCCAAACTTTGTACTTAGAACTCGTAGACCCGCACTCCCCTTGTCAAGCCTGGGGATAAAGAGCACCGCATGCGCGTCGCGAACGCGCAAAGCGGCAAAGCAGTCGGGCTCCTTGCGAGAGGAGCTCACTAGATGAGTTGTCTACTTCTGTCTTTTTCCCTCTAGTAACCTAAGGTTTGCCCACTTCCTAAGACAAGTCCCTCTTGAACCAAAGCTTGACCGGCGCTACGTCTGCCGCGCTATGTCCATGGCTCAGCTTCCAGTGCAGGACTCTGCTTGGCTTGCTTCATGGAAGAGTTGGCTGCCAACAAGCTGCGCGTCCCGCCTAGCGGCACGGTCTGCGAGGTAGAATCATGTAACGGTACGCAGAGGGAAAAGCTGAACGAGGGATTGCCAAAAGCAGAACCGACTGCCAAAGACGGGCTGGCTCAATCTTTTGAGTAAGTGGTACGAGAGTCGAAGCGTGTGAGCAATCCTTGACTCCGAAGAGGTACTGGAAGTTGCTCTCCTGCTTGAAATCCCAGTTGGTGTCCTCGGAAAGGTTGCTCGCACATAGATGCAGTAGACATGGGAATCGAGGTAACAAGGACGGTGCCCCAGTCTCGGAATCATTGCGAACTTGCTTGGTTGCTTGAGCACCGCGCACTGTAGTTAGGCTGTTTTGCTCAAGGAGAGGCAGCCATGGCCAAACTGAACCTTGTGGCAGAAGGCCATCCCCCATGCCAACCGAGTCTCCGTGTCGTAGACGCTGGCCTCTTTGCCTCCTTGAAGGAAGATCACCGCATCCCTGCCGATTTCCGTTCTCTCGCGCAGAACCTGGTCGGCAAGAGCTGTGGAGATGCTACTTAAAGTGCGGGCTCTACTCCGCAAAGCATGCTGGTTTACATAGCGCGACTGCTGCTGCAACTGTAGCAAGAGTGTGGTGGCGAATCTGGATGTGCTGTGACGATCTGCATCTTGATCTCTCCGGGTGTTTAGAGAACTTGCGAGAAGATTCCCCGGACTCTTATCGCGCTTCCAACCCGCATCTGTTCCTCCGTCTTTGTGTCTGGGCACAGGTTGAGCTCTAACCTACCTGTTGCCGCACCCAGGGTCCTGAATTTCCCCCGCGCCTGGCAAAGTTTCTGTCGGTGAGCGGCGTGCATCGCCATCGGCACTCGTAGGGTGCCTGCGACGTGCTGGTGCGCAGTTCCCTCATGTTCCCTCGCAAGAATACCTTCGCTGAATTGCATAAAACGTCAGGTCTCTCAGGAAAAGCTTCGCCTGCACCCATGGAGAAGAAGGGCATGCTATCCCGGTCCCAGGAAACCTCGGCTGTGCTCTCTAGGCCCCTGGGCTGCTGTCATTTCGTGGACCTATCAGCTCCCCCCTTTCCTGGGCCGGATTTCCTTGTCTGGGTCAAGACATCGATGCCCTTTTCATGCGAAGCTCATCATGGCTCATCCAGCTACGCACGACATGATCTAACATCCCTGCACCGCCATGCGACGGTTCCTCCCGTGACCATGGGGCCGATGCCTGGCAACGGCTCTAAATCCTCCCCTTTTCACCACACAATACTCAGAGTTCTCTATCAGCGTTTGCAATGGATGGCTCGAACTTAAGCCATGCTTACAGTGACGATTCGGGAGAGCTTCTATGCACGAACACAGTCTGCCGCCTGCTGCACCGTTCTCCATCTTGGCTTTCTTCGCCGGATGTGCTGCCATGGCCATCGTCGAAACAGCTGACACCTCTATTGCGCAGAGTACTCCTTCAAGATCCTTTTCATGGGCCCTTAAGACAGAAGAATGCAAGGGATAAGGGCCCACGTGCAGGGCTACCATGTCATCCCCTGGGCCTCGCAGCTACGGTCTTAGATTCTTGGCATAGTCGACTGCCAGACCATACCGAGGTTCATGGCTTCTGATGAAGATGAGCAGCTCATGCACAACTCCGGCATAGAAAGCCATCACTCCCGGAACCCCAAGCAAAGCCGGTGCTGGTGGTCACTCGGTGTCGCGGATGAGATTCTGAACCTGGACCGTGAAGTCCTTGGCACAAGGATTCAGCAATCCGCAAGACAGATCGTACCTGAGGTCGTCCCCGATCCCAGACACCTGTACGCACATCGATGATTTACCAGCCCAACCAGCTCTTGACGCTGGACGTGTTAAACGAAGCATGTGACATCCTGTCAACTCAGCTGAGGATTTCCAACATCAACCTGAAACCGAAACACATGACACATGAAGCCACAGACATGGACTCTGAACGATAAAGAAAGCAGGGAAGGCGTACCGTGGCTGCCGTGAGGACTGTCGAAGAGAAGCTTGCCGCGATGATCTGCAAAGCAGATGGTTCCGCTTCCACTCTTCATGATTCAGATCGCTGCTGTATAACCATGCATCAGCCTGCAGCATCCGATGGGGATGCAGGAAAATGCAGAAAATACTGGGGCTCGCATGCAATGGAACGCTAAAGCTGATGCTTGCACGGATTCTTCGCTGGCCAGTGTGGCCGCAAAGCATCACGGCGCGTTGTGCCGAGTGCGTGAATGCGCCCTTCGCCACTACCTCAACGGCGGCCCGGCCTGGTTGATGCTTGGTGGTGTGAACTGGTCCCGGACAGCTGTACACCAAGCTGTTCCAGGCCTGGCTTGGGTCGGGCACTCAGCCTGCGGCAGCTCTCGAGTTCAACAAGGCGGCTCCGCTCGTCCAGTTGCAACGTCACGGTCGCCCTGCCAGCACAAGTTGCAGAAGGCCGAAAGTAGGGAGACCCCGAGCTCCAGACGTCGTTTCGCTGTTGGAGGCGATTGAGACGACGGTGATGATCGGTGGCGTCAAATCCAACGTGAAGCGGCCTGCAAGCCACTGCGAGCACGAGAGCCACAAACCGCAAGGCCTCGCTGAGGCCAAGTCTATGAGAAGTTGTTGCATGCAGCATTTGCAGGTCTGAACCCGTGGTAGATTCCGCAAAACGTTGGCCCCCTCCGCAAACGTGACCGTCGCAGAATCCGCTGAGGTGGCCCCATGCCAGCTAACCGTTAAGCCACGGGCTGCAAAGCCGAGAGTGAGTGGTGGTCAAACGAGTCCAGTTAACACAAAACAACCTTTTTTCGCAGAAATATGGAGCCATGGCCTGTCGCTTCAACGAGCACCGGCAAGGCTTCGTTGTTCCTCGGGCGGGCAACCGGCAGCTCACATCGATACAGGGCATGCGTATGTAGGCGCACAATCTTTTCGAGACTTGAGACCATGAGGCCAAAGCGAAACGGGGGCTGGGTCGATGGTGGTGGCACCCTCCACGAGCTCGTCGTCTTCTGCCGCGCAGTAGACGAAGTACCTACAAGAAAGAACAGTATCCGACAAATGGTGTGTAAATTCCGTGTAAACATGCAGCTACACATAAACAAGCGAGGCCACTTGGTTTCCATGGTGAGGCCAGAGACCTTGATGTCGAAGTTCTTGTAAATGTTGTTCCTGCTGACAATATTGCAGCAATAGTTAATCCAACTCGCAGAGAATGCGCCGCAGATATCTCACTGGCAGTCGGCATGGGCACTGTTGCAGTCCAAGGCTCCAGTTTGTGACGGTGTTCTTGTAGACGGGCTGGCGCAGAAGTGCTTCAGAACACGCACACAACAACAGTAGAATGCTGGCACTAAACCACGTCCAGGAAAAGCCCGCCCTTCTGTAAAAGCGGCCCCTGCGCGCCCTCAGCCTGAACCTGGTGATCTCTCTAAGGCTGGCGCTGCAGTGATAAGTGCGGTGTAAAGTGCGGCATCCACCGTCTGCGTGGTGGTGTAGGCTTTGCAGTACCTTCAGCTTTTCTTTTGCATCATCGGCCGTGCTAGGCTGAGTCTTGGCACGCTCAAGCAACCCGCCTCTCTGGAACTCTGACAACTCAAGACCTGGAGCCCCTTAGCACAATACTCTCCCGGTGGCGGACGCTGTCCCTGGCTCATCCAGCTGAAGCGTAACGGTGATGGAGGACTCTTCCGTTGACTCCTGGCAAGATACTGCAGATTTACATGTCAATGGAATGTAATGAGTGCTGCATAGTGTTGCCGAATGCTACAGAAACGGCAAGGTGGTCGATCTCTCTCTACTCGCAAGAACCAAGCTTCAATTTGCCAGCTGCACCGCTTCCACGAAAGTGATGGTGGGCGGCGTTGTGTCTGGAGTTCTGACCTCACAGTCTTTTGGCATTTGCTCCCTCTGCGGGTCACAAGAACAAACTGCGATCCGTCTCTGTGGGAGAGGGCTACGGAGCCGTGTTTCTGAGGGACCCGCATGCAGGATCTTCCTCAGTGAATCGCAAACACTTTCTCTGCTCTTGCTGTCGGGCTTGTGCAGGTTCGGTGCAGCAAACATAGACGAGCATGACACGCATGGACGACCATTGGCTCAGGCCAAAGAAGTCCTGCCTTCGGAAAACCTTTTCCCACCCCGGTTGCTGACCATAGAGGGGAGGCGGGATGGAGGAAACCGCCCTTCCCCTTCCCCGCCCGAGCCGTTCCGAAGCGAACGAGTGAACATTGGAACCCAAGACTTCCCAGTGAAAGTGAAAACATGGAGAGTCCAGAAGCTCCAAGGTTGCTGCCCTCCTGGCAGGCCGGCTCCGTTGGTGACCGTCGCCGGCGGCGTCCCACCGAAGGCGGTGTCGACATAGGTTTGGTCCTCGAGAGGAACCCGTACACAAACCCTTGGCTTCTGAAGGCCCAAGGCCGGCCGTCAAGGGTCCTGGTAGTTGTTCCTGGGGTAGGTCGTACAGGAGGCACTCGGCGCCTCCAGGCATGTTCTTATGGCTCCTTCAAGCTCCAACTGCACCCATCTTCTAGGCAGAGGGAGAGAGGTCAGAGAGGGGCCTGTGCATAGCAGGAGTACTGCACAGCTTCGTCGCGGCTCCAACCTACACGATGTGCAGGCATGACCAGATCAGGATTCAATGGGAAGACACGGATCCCTCTCAACACAACCCCCTGACAGCAAACATCGTGTGATGCAGAAGGCGTTGCCAAGGCGCAGTAAACGTCGTACAGAGTGCCCCGGTCAAGCAGGTCCAAGCTGACATCGTTCTGCCAGGGCAGTCTGTTCTGGCCAGAAATGAAGTTGATGCAACAGTGAGACCGTGGTAGACGCTGCAAAAGCCCAAGCTGCACGCGGCGCAGGAAGCGGGCTGAAGACCGTTTGTAAACGAGCGAAGGTCGTGAGGCCGGACCAGACCGGTGCCTCCAAGCGCGCCAGGTCGATCGTGGCAGACGATCCTGCCCCTCCTGTCTGGTCCGCATAGTAGTCTGCCTGCAGCGCAGGGTTTGGGTGCATCGGGATGCGCTTCAGCCTGCGGAGATGTGTTGGCACTTGAGACTCAGCCGTAACTTCTCCAGGGTTGCCGATGCTGTGATCAACATGTCGTTTCCCGGGGCAGGTCTCGCAGGCTGACTCCCCGGAGAGTAGACAGCGCTGGAACTCACCCGGTAAAGCGTAAGCGTACCTTGAGGATGCGGTTGACGCTGAGGCTCGTCTCGCCGGAGTCGCTTCGAGTGACACGGCAGTAAGCCCTGCAGGCCTTCCAAAGGCAAGGTGGCGACGAGGCTACGCATGATGCTACTGAGCTAGCTCCTGCGAGTCCCTCCACTTGCAGCTCTCTCGGCTCCGGGGATGCATGTCACCCGTTGGACAGCTTGCCCGTCCTCGTTGCATTTGAATGTAACCTGGATGTTGGTCTCCTGGTAGCCATGTGCAGTTGACCACTTGCCGAAGCTTGAGGCACGAGACCCGCAATACTCTTTGCCGGGTCCACCGTGGTGCCCTTCGCACCGAGCTCGGTGAAGACAGGAGGCGATTGATCCAGGGTCGTGAGCTGGCCTTCAGTTGACTCAACATCTCCATCCTACCAGCCCATTAGATGCAGCAGGGGAAAAAACCTTCAAGTGTTTCGCGCAACTGAGTTTTTTCAGGACTTTGCTCTGACGTCACCATGCCATCAATGCATCAGCAGCACCAGCCCCGAGGCCCACACCTATGGCTGGGAAGGTGTTCAGAATCGAAGCCTGAACAAATGGCCACAATTGGTCTTCTTGCCATACAGTTCGACTGGTATCTCATCTGTGGAATCACGCCACTTGGACCGACACAGTGGCACAGTTGCTCGGACAAACTAGCAAGACGATGTGGCCTGGGTCATCTCGTTTACCGTCGGAAGGGTGGAAGCGTCAACCGCTGCACAGTACCTCGCCCAAGCTGCGACTTGCAGAGAGGCTCCATCCACTCGGTCGTGGCTCGTTGCAGTGGAGGATGGTTTTGAGGTGGGACTTCAGTGCAACTAGGCAGCCCTCAGCGAGTATCCCTCCAGCTTCCATAGTGTTTGGAATACTCGACTCCATAGTCATCCTTCCCCTCACGCAAGGTGATGCCAAACTCGCGTCGAAACTCTGGGCTCGGGGAGGCGGCGCACGTGTCGTAGAGTGTCAGCTCATTCAGGCCAGAGACAACAACCTCCACGTTGGTGTTCACTGGACTGTTCGGCCTGCACATACCGCCGAAAGCTGCGCAGAGGGCGAAAAGGATCCGAGCTCAGTTGCATGCCTACGCCGAAGGGTGCTAAGGGCTTGGCGACAGCAATGGGAAGCCAACGTACGACTGAAATCCGCCACCAGCAACCTCGATCGTCCAAAGTGCCGTTGTCTTGGCTCTTCATCAATTTCTTCAAGCTCTTTGCTGCGCCCCCCTCCAGATACCACATGCCTGAGGCCCGTGGCAGATGCAAAGGTTGGTGTGCCATAGGCTGTTGACGATTGGAAGGAGTTGCAGTACACCTCGGCGCTGCCGGGGTCAAGAACAGCTTTTGGGATAACAGCACCCATGGAAATTGGCGGCACCGGGGCACGCACTGTTCCTGGCTCGTCCATCTTGACCTCACGATCAAACACCATAGCTCATGAGAGAGGGAGCTTCGGAACTAAGTAGCGGCATATCTCGGAAAAGTCACTTCACCCCAATGGAAGATCGTCTACAAAGCTTACACAACTCGTCACAACTGCTTTGAACACAAAGACTGAAGGCTGCCCGCGGGAGCAAAGGACCTAAAGGCTGTTTGAGAGCTGCCTAGCCTAGCCGAAGTGGGATCGATGTTGTGTCCCATGCACCAGCTCGATGCGGCTGGCTCCAGTTATCATAGTCCGCCGCCCGGGGGCAAGCGAAGCTTCCAATAACTAGTAATCTCGAACACTGCCTGCCAGAGACCCGGTGCCTTGATCCGGATATCCGAGCTGATAGGCGACTCGGCCGAGACGATGGTCAGAACTGGCCTGTTCGGAGGAGTAGCGAACCAGAGGAAGCACAATCAGAGACGACTGCAGGTCTGCTAAGGGCAAGGCGGTGTTGTGTCCTGAGTGCTCAGCGTCACCACCTGGCGAAAAGTCATATGGGATCAGAAGTGGCAGGCTCGTACGTGTGCCCAAAGCTAGAACGGACCCGCACAATTACGTGTGGTGCAGGAGGCGTCGCCCTAATTACTGCAACAAGTGCAAAAGCAAACAATCGGGGTGTATAGTAGCTTCGCGCAAGTCAGAACGTCAGTTTCGTGCCAACCTTTCCACACAAAAAAACATGCGACCGCACGTCACCAGCGACGAACTTCTGGCCGTTGGGAATTTGCGGGTATACATTGTCATCCTCGGCGTAGCACCAAATGTCGTACCTCCGCACAAGCCATGCGCAACGTCTATTCAAAAGGAACCTTCCTTGAGCAGTCGGATAGCCGTGTTAAAAGGGGCTCATGCCCGGACCGTGCATCCACTGCTTCAGACGGGGATCTATTGCAAAGAACAGCTTATGTGACTTGTAAACCTGAGCCGCGAGCAGGGTCTTGGCGTCGAGATTCGCCATGGTGACCTCATTTTCCAAAAAGTCGAACTCAGCCCCGTCCTGGCCTAAATCTCGCACGGCAACGACGAGTGGCGCAGCGCAAGTTCTACGAACACCCCAGCTGGACGCTAAGTCCAGTCATGGCGATGGCTTGCCTCTAGCTTCTTGTCTTGGTTGCTGCTGCTGGTGGACGATGGCGGTGATGACGATGATGATGATGATGTTGATGATTACGATGGTGATGATGATGATGATGATGATGAACATGATTACGGTGGTGATGGTGATAATGAAGATGGCGATGATAGTGATGGTGATGGTGAGGATGGTGATGGTGTTAGTGATGAGGGTGATGATGATTATTATTATGATGATGATTGTGCTGATGATGATGACGACGATGATGACGATGATGTTGATGGTGACGACGACGATGACGATGATGTTGAAGATATCAGTATGTCTGGTGATGTTGATGATTCTTCGGTACTGGTGGTGACTGTACTGGAAATGGCCTGACCGTGGTTGATGAGTTGCAGCAGTAGCTGTGGTCGTGAGGCAGCTGTGGATGTTACGGTCATGGAGGCGGTGATGGTGGCGCTGCAGTGGGGAAAATCCAAGCCGACAGGTCTGATCGAGTGCGCTGAGCTCGCCACCACAGGTTTCCACGCGGAGGATACTGGAATAGTTGAAAGACTCAGACGCTTGAGGATGATACCTATCAATGCAGCTTGTTGCTGCTGCTGTTGTAATACTTGTCACTCAGCCTCATACTTTTTATTAGTGTTCGAAGTTGTGCCACGGTTGTTTGCGGTGTTCTTCTCACTGATGGTGTTGCTGCTGTTGGTGCCACTGCTGTTGACAGACTTCTGCCTGCCGTTAGATCGCTCGGTTCGGTGTCGCACTGAGGCTTCAGGCCGTGCAAGCGCTGCTGAAGCAGTCGACGTCGTATTCGTTGTTCTGGCATAACATGGCCAGCTGCTTGGCAGCTAGAATCAGTTTGCTGCGTGCTGCGATTGGAGAGGTGTTTGATTACAATGCCGAAGCTGGCCTGGAGGATCTCGTTTATGCTTGGCTCGGCAAAGGTTGACCGCACAGGCATACACCAGATGGTGCCTGGCTGACATGGCATCACTCCGCAGGACACGACTTTAATGCATCATAGCCTGCTTCGTCCAAGCCGAGCGTGATCTGCAATGACGTTTCGGACAGCGCTGCGCCTTAAAGCAACGCTGCGCTTGACGCTTGAAGTTCGAAGAGCCAAAGGACACGCCAGAGCCGGGACGAGGGCTCACTGGAGTTCCTGTGAATGTAGGTGGTGTCTGGTCGAGTGTTGTCACCTGCAGAGCGTGCTCCGATGATTTGGCGCGGCGCCCCAGACGGCCACACCTGCCCGATGGCCAAGTTCACTGCAGTCATGTGGGCCTGCTGGACCTGCGAGGATCTGAGAGGTGCGACCTGTCGCACTACCCTTGGACTTGTCAATCCACGGGCCTTGTTGGGATTCACAGGCGCTATGAAGGATGGCGAAGGGGAGGGCGTCGGAGCCTGCCGAGGGCTCAACAACACAGGTTCCCTCGTTTCGACCATTGACCTTTCGTCCCTGGAGTTGCCCTCAGACTGCATGCAGACTCAGGCACGGCTGGGCTCAGATACATGAGGCTTGTGAAGGAGGCCTGGTTCACCCAGTCATCTTGGGCGAAACACCAGACATAGTAGAAGTAACTGGCACAAGGAGCCAGAGACTTTGGGATCCAATGATTTGTGCTGGCACTTGGCACGTCTTGGCACTTGCAATTCTGCTAAAGGCTGCTAAAGCACACAACATCGGCAGAGCTAGGCGCACTTGCCCACCATGGCCTCCCCAGCCTTGGAAAAACACGTACTTGTTGTGGAGGTACGTCAAGCAAACGTCGATTCTTGCTACAAGTTGCGGAAACGGCACGGCTGAATGGGGGAGCCCCGCCCTGTGGGAAAGGTCTACACAGTCTACACCTGCAGCCCTGTTATGGACATCTTGCCACAAACCTTCGACAATAAAATTGACCGGGGCCGGCACGACAGTGGCTGTGACCTTCTCAATGCGGGTCATGTCAATGTCGAAGTCCTGGACCAAGCCATGCAGGTACGAGCAGCAAAACTAATGGTCTCCTTGGCTACTGCCGGGCCTGGTACGGAACATGCACCTCCTCCATGAAAACGGTAGAGTCGGCACCCCCACGATTGACACCTCATGTTCAACTCTGGGTCACGCAAGCTCAACCTGTATGTGCTCATGGCACTCATGGCAGTCTTCCGCCTTGAATCCATGTTTCGTAGTAGCATGGGTCCGAGGTCGTCCTCGGCGGACTTTGAGCAATGCCACGACTGTTACGATTTTCCCACGACAAGCGCAGAACCTGCCAATCAGTTTTCCGCATTGGCCCATGCCCTAAATCTGGGTACCAGGCAGGAATTCGATCGCGCTGTTCTGGCAATATCTTGTCATGGTCGGGGAGCCGTCCTTCCGCTCTGCTTCAAGTGGCGCCACCATGAGCCATGAACTCTGCCCGTCTCCCAGGCCTGATCTGCCACTTGGCACCACACAGTGCCAGGCCTGACAAGCGGTTCAAAGTCAGCAGCTCATCTCGTACTCCAGCTGCGTGCCACGGACTCAAGCAACCGGTTCAACTGACTGCTGCTCCAGATCAGGAACATACAGGAGCGTGCCGGCAAAATGCCGCTCAATGTTTGAACGAGTGCAAAGGATCACCAGCCCATTTCAGAGCACGGCTCGTTGAGCTGCAAGGTAACCTGGATGTGTGACTCGCCCAAAGCCTGGCATTTGACACAGACGGAGATGGACAAATTTAAATAGAGTCCTAGTATGCACACTTAGCTAGCTAGCAGCTTGCTAGCTAGCCGTCTAGCGAGGGAGACAGAGACAGAGACTGACTGCAGAAACAGACTGACAGGGACACTGGCCAGAGAGACAGACCGAGAGGGGAGAGAGAGCAGGAGAGATGGAGACAGACCCGGGCTTGCTGTCCACACACTTCCGTCCTCGCGAGATACCACGATGATGGTCGGCGGCGTAGTATCTGTGATCCAGACATTCTCCGTGAGCCCTGGCCCAAGAACCACTTTCAAACAGGTCTGCTTTCAACAGGGTGCTGGAATGACTAGATTCGTTTGGATGTACACCGAGCATACACCGATACTCACCATTCCACACTACATTGATGACAAGCCCACGACTTCAAGCTCTGAGTTTCGACGTCGCCTGAAATGCTTGAGAGACCCAAATTGTCCTGCCTCCAGACGGGTTGTTCACATCCTTGCAGGACCAGCGCTCAACAAATCGCATGTTTCCATCTGCAGTGATCGACACACTGCAACCTGGGACTCATCAAGTCCTGCAGGCCCGAGCTCTACCGAAGCACGGCAGCAAGACATTACAGCCAACAAGGGTCTCATAGCATCGTCAATGTCACCACCACCCCCACCACCATTATCTTGACCATACTCATTTCATCATCAGAAGGCACGATATGTACTTGTACTACATTGTACTGCTCAAGCATTATGCCGGTGTGGCAACATGGACCTTGACATGGTCGATTTCCAATCATTGGCCCCTCAACTTGCAGTAACCTCATCAGAAAATCCCAATGTACCTCTCTGTAGTAACTGTAGTAGTTACTCTGCCTACTGATGCTGTATTCTACTGACAAAGCCTCGAGGCTTCTTGTCTACGTCACGAAGGTACGCTGCCCGTCAGAACTTGCTTGAATTTGGGCACGAGGGCCGAGTCTCGGGCGGCTCCCACGGGCGTCTCCACGGTGCTCTGGGACATGTAGTTGGGCCGCGCGAAGCCATGCGTGTCCACCTTAGCCATGCACATACCTAGGACCTCGCATGCTCTTCAGCGGAGGCAGCTTCTGACCGTGAGATGTCTTCCTCTGCACACTCCTGCGAAATGCTCGGGGGACGAACTGTGCCGAGGCATGCTGAGGCACTTACAGCGCTGTCTTTGGCCCAGCAGTACACGTCGTACTGGGAGGCTTCGTATAGCACACTGCGCACAGGTGCAGGTCAGCAGGAGAGACAAAAGCCTTGCTATTACCTGTTGCCGGATTCACTTTAGGGCCGAAGGTTTGAGTAGCGATGGCAGCCCCTTCTGGCCTGGAGGGATCGCGTGCCTCCAGACTGGTGATCGTGATCGTTCCCACATCATTAACGGGATCGAGGATTTCCTGTCAAAATGCGGAGCGGCAGCAGCAGCCGGCAAGGCTCAACAGTCTGCTGACTTCTCCCACCTGGGAGAAGTCTGCGGAAAGGATCTGATTGATATGCAACGTTGGTTCGGCCGAGTCGCTCCTCACGGAAGCACGGAAGCCTGAACTTCACCCCTGGTTGACAAGGCGGGCATGGCAGATCATGGCAGGGTGATGTGAAGCTCTCGGGCGGTCCTTTTGGCCCGGCAGTACGCAGTGCCCGCCTTTCCACGTGACGACGCAAAGACTTTGCTCATGGTTGGTGGCAAAGCTCCACCAGAGCAGGGCCTCGTTGAGCTTGAACGTAACCACGATCTGATTGTTGACGGCTGTTGGGTCTGGAATCTGCAACCTGATTCAGAACTCTTCTGCTTTGCACCTCGTGAGCAGGGCACGTCAGCCTCGTGAAGATTGGCGGGGACTCGTCCAAGGTTTGCACCTGGGCCAAAGTCTCAACTACAGCACTCCTGCTTCGGAATCTGCTATCGGATTGGCCAACACCATCTCCGCATGCAAAGTGGCCAAGGACGCAAGAAGCCGCTGCAGTGATAGCGAAGGCCCATGAGGACCGAATTGGAAGCATCCTTCCAGACATCCGGAGCCTTCGCCCTTCCAGTAGATTTTCGAAACTCTGGGCCCGCTAGAGATCAGAAGATCCCGGAAGTGCCATGCTGCAGATCCATGAGAGGCAGGCTTTGCTCCCCTCGCAACAGAAAAGCAGCTGGGGACACGACGGTGCCAATTGCCTGCTGCATGGAATGCATGTTGTCGGGACCTTAGTGGCATGAGAGGGCTCGCTGGACTTTGATTCGCCCCAAGAGAGTGCCCTGAGAAGGACAGAAGAGCGGCACCACGGCTACCAGACACTGCAACTTCCGAGAACCGCGTGCAACGCAGATCAGAAAGGTCAAGTGCGATGCCGCTACCGGAGCCGTCGAAGATCATTTTGTTCGGCCCGTTCGGAGGCACCTCGATCTGTAGGTTGAGAGGACATGTTCCAGCATGTGATCGTCTCGCTTCAGACTAGAAATGACAGAAGGCCACACCTCGTCATCTTCTGCAAAGCAGTAGATGAAGGGATAATCCGTCTCCTCCTAGCAGGCACACCATACTATGTACCACTCCCCAGGCAAAAGATGTACAGGTGAGCCTGGAGGCCAGAAACAATGATGTCCACATCCTGAAAGACAGTTGGACGGCGAAAGTTTTCCTCGTGGAGGATGAGGCAAAAAGCAAAGCCTGATTGAACTTCCACTTGTAGATGTCATCGTAGTCCGCTCGGGAATTAACACCTCGGCACGGGGCATCAGACAAAGCACCTTTCTGGCACACCAAGAATCGTGTCGTAGGGTCGGGCCTGTGTCTGCCTGGCCCAGAACTCCGCAGAATCTAAGCTTGGTGCCATCCGCATCCGCATCCTCAATGTCATCCAGGTCGTACACCCAGAACCTTTGCCAAGGCTCTTGCAGCGATCTTTGCACCATTTTTGCTGCTCAGCACAAGGACGGCCAAAAAGGAGCCCGGTGGCGCAGAGCACCTGAAAACCTAACGAAAGCCCCGGAATCCCGGAAGCTGGCTCGCGGCCGCAGGCTCAGCTTCGCACGTGCCGCACTGATTGCCTCAGGCCACACGCCGCACACAGCAGCTTCTTGCGTTTCGTCCGAAGCTTCGAACTTCCGCCCTTCGTCCCTTCGTGGGCTGTTCCTAGGTCCACACCTCGTCCATCCTGGCAGTTGGCATCTTCGTTCTTGATCTTCGTCTCCGCATCCAAGGAGTCGGTGAAAGCCGGATCGGTGCCTCGTCCCACAAGAGCCCTGCTCTGCCAGATCTAGGGAACCCAGGACTTCTTCAAACGGAAACTTTATGAAACGCTGACACCGAGATGCGTAGGCCTCTTCTGCCCCGGCTTGCTTTACCCCAAACCGGTTCTGAGGCTGCACACTCCAGGCGGCGCACCAAACCATTGCACCTGCGGATCTCTGCTTGGAAGTTCGGGCGCATGAACTCGTGGCAAGCATTTAGTTGCTTGATAACTGTTCTGTCGGCGCACACTTACAAAAACTTAGGAAATCCCGTCCGTGATAATGAGGCCCGCCACATGGCAGCAGGCAGCACTTCGGTTTGCCTTCATCCACCTGCAGAGTGATGAGGATCCGGTCGCTTGCGATGGACTCCGCTGCGACGTACCTAGCACAAGCAATAACCTCCTGGGCTTTTTAGCTGCATCTCTGTTTGCGGCGCTCTAGCTGTAGATGCTCGTGGATAACAGTTGTAGAGCATAGGACACATATCACAGTTGCTCGCCTCATGTTCGGATTGGTGTAGTCCTTGGTACGGATGGAGTCCTTCGTGGCGACTACCTGCCACGACGGCGAGCTGACTGGAGGAGCCCTTCTGCCGCTCGCCCTTGAAGTGAAGCCTTGAATCTGGGCCCCCTGCTGCACTGAAGGAGACACCATTCGTGACCTGGGTCGACATCAGGATCTACAATCTACCAAAAGCAATCAAAGCCTCCTTCTAACAGCGCAGCTCCCTCCTATCCCGACCCATCTCTGTTGCTCCGGCTCTCAGACAACGACCCGGCATCCCAGGCACAGATCATCCGAGGCATAGCAGTAGACCTCGCAGAAACATTGAGGCTCCCACTGCTGCTTCGGCTTCCTATAGCTCCGTTTTACGATGGGCCATGGCAAAACGGACAGTCACGCAGTTGAAGGGAACAGCAATGTACTTCTGAGTTTCTAGAGGAATGGAACAGTAGGAGTGCAGCGGTTCTCGCACACACCAGAGAGGCTTCAATGCAGTAAGGGCTGCTCTCTTAATGCTGTTTTCTCCGTCGAGATGCTGGAACGCCTACCGGAGTGGACTGTCCTACTGGGCTCTCACTGCCGCAGCGCATGCACGAGCTCCACATAGCCCTCCTCTTCGGGTCGAACGAATCCACGGCGCACCTTGACATTGCAGCAGCGGGCAGGTACATGGACTCTGGGGGCAGAATCTGAGATTCAGAGGCTCGAACAAGCATGTCAATGATAACAACGGCGACCTTGGCAGCAGAACGACCCCACATGCAATGTCGAGCAAACTGGGCAAGACTAGACCCCAAAGAACCTAGCCCTGATTGTAGTTGCTTGTCAGCGACGTTCGGCTTCCAGTCCGGCTCGGAGGATGACACGAGCGAGTCAATGACTGCATCCATGCCTCGGTTCCCAGTTGCAGGCCGGATCAGACTCCACAGCGACGGAGCCCTCAAGCAAGGCCCTCAACACGCAGGAAAGTTGCTGGTTACGAGTCGACTGCTGCGAAGCCGGGCGAGAGCTGCAAGTGTCAAAGGGCCAGCACGGCTAAAATGTATAAAGGCGGGAAAGGCAAGAGGCCAATGGGGCCAAGGTGCCCATTAGCTCGAAGCCTTCTACCTCCCCATCACCGGCTGTGGGCTGGAAGTCCTCAGGGAGGGTCCTCGGAAGGCCATCTCGGCCGAGTTGACGGTTCGGATTGCACCCACACGGCGCTGCCCAGAGCTTGCAGCTACATGCAGCTACACTCTGAACCAGCCTGTTTTTGGGTTCAAACCTGTCCAACCGACCCACGACTGGCTGACAGGTGGCAGATCGTAGCAGAAGATCACATCTGTTTTGACGCCCCATCCTCCCCAAGCTGTGGCCATGCAACGAACGCCAGGAAGCTGACGTGCTTCGAATTGGCATCGGTCATGTGAAAAGCAGCCAGAAACATGAAACACCACTACCTCCTCCAGTCAGCCCACATGCAAATCCCTGGGTCCGGTCCTGTCTCATCAACTTGACAATAAGAGACGACGCCAGTCCTGAGAAACTGATCCCCTCGGGCTTGGCGAAAACTTGAGAGCCACTTCACCAGGCGGCGTAACACGCCAAGACACACCAAACCAGCCAAAGTGGCGGCTGCGCGGTTTGCGCGAGCTCCTTTGGCACGCGCGCCTCCTCGAAGCACTCCCGGATCCTTGGGTCAAATCTCTGTCGAGAGGCCGGGCGTGTTGGCGCAGCCTACACCTGGACCGGAGCCAACTGAGTGCTTCTCACGTTGTCTCCAGGCAGCTCGCCGTGCGACAATCCTCCTACGGGCTATCCCCGAACAGAGTCCGTCTGAAGTCCTTCGCGAAGCGGAGGCATTCACCCCGGCAAATGTGTCCTGCTACGACATGGTCCAGACGGCCCGGATATGTTGGCTTTGTCCGTGACCGTGTGGCAACCTCGCAGCGGATACCCTTTTGCATGTGGCCTTCTTGGAAAGCTCTTGGAAAGTGAATGGCTTACGATAGCCGGGCCTAGCAGCATCATATGCCTAGCATCACCTCACAGCTGTCAGGCCACGTGGCCCAAAGCAATGGGCCCTTTGATGATTCCACAGTGCCATTGACGTGGCACCTGAAACCGAGACCCATCGCTAAAAAGCATGAGATGAGTCTGAGAGAGGTAGGAAATGCTCAGCTTCGGCTGGGAACCACACCCGAAGCCTCGCACACCCAGAAGAGGCCCAGCGGCTCTCTCCTCCCAGGGAGGCGTGGTTGAGGCAGGATCCGCAGGGTGCCCTCTTAAGCTTTCAGCCCACGCTCCACCACCAATGCTGGGGCCGCATGGAAAGAGGCCTTCACGGGCCATTCCTTAGCTCCAGGCAGGAAGATTCCTGTGGTGGAGAGATGCTCGAAGAACGTGGAAAGGCTTCACTGGGTATGATCAGCGAGGCGTCTTCGTCCCTCCAGCCTCGCAACATGGGAACCGTGTCCTCGCGGAAGAGCGTTCGGAGATCACGTAAGGCTTGCTCATACCGTTTCAAGCGTCTGGTCAATACCTGGTGCCCGACGACACAAGCAACCACTACTCCGTCTTCTTATGTCGCATCTAGCGTACAACAGTCACACGGACCATACCTTCGGGCCTAAATCTGCCAAACCCAAACGTGAAAACCCGTTGTTGCCCCCACAGAGTACCAGTAATCATGTTCTGCTGAGCTGAATCGCCCAGAGTGTCCGCAGGGGCCCCTGCTTGCAGAAATTTCAAGCTGAGCTCCGGAGGAGCCTGGAAGCCCCTTTCTTAGCAAGAGGAACAAGGTGAAAGTCGGAAACCTCCCCAGCAAGATCCTCGTGGTCCAGCCGCAGATCACACAACGGCACCCAGGATGGGGCTCATGGGGAACGACGGTTGACTAGAAGACGCAAGGAACAACCTCTGCAGGCAGAGGAACAAGCCAAAAGCAGAAAGAAGCTCACCGACAAAGACCACTGGCTATTGCCGTGACTCCTGGCTGCCCATCCAAAGGCGCCATACCCAGGTTGGCCCACTTTTCCAGTCTCGCATTGCTTGACCCGGGATAGCTTGCGTCTGCTTTGTGTTCACTTTTCACCGGCTTCGTGCCAAACAGGCACGAAGAAGTGGTTGCCAACAGCTTGCAACTGTGGGCAAATTCTTGCGACGGGGTGGCATACGGTCTAACCCGAAACCATGCTGAAAACACTACCTGCAAACCATAACACTAAACCCTCATTCCTGAAAACACTTAAAGGCCTTCAGGGAAACCGCCTGTGGAGTCCTCCTCACGGAGCCGCTGCAGCACTTGGGCCACCGCCTCGGCGCTTTCAGAGCGGTACGCCGACGACGCTTCATGGAGCGAGGCACTCCAACTCCGAGTTTAGTTCAGGGCTTAGAGCGATAGCAGCAATGATAGTTGTGGCTCGTTATGATACCGGCACTTATACTGATAGCAATACGAGCAACACGAGCTAACATCAGGGACTGCCGCGCAACGCGAACTGAGTGATCCCAGTCGAGCGTTGGAGAACTCCGGAAGCTGCCCCGCCTTGGAACGCGACGGCACGGAGTCACCTTCACGCGCACCGGAAGCCCCGTGCTCCAAAACAAATAACGTGAGCAGCGCGGGCCTGCCACGACATCCACGGCATCTTCCGTGACGCTGAAGACCTTTCTACCACTCTCCAAAATCCCTTCTTCTTCGCCAGGGCATGGGAGGCGGTTTAAGCCCCCCGGCCACTAGGGCCCCCCATTTGTTCTGGGGCTTTGAGGAGGCGTGAAAACAAGGTTAACGTGTTTTCCCCCCAAGATCGTTGTTGTTCAAAAACATAAATTAAGACTGTAGGGCTCCAAAATCCCTCTCTCTGTCTCTCTCTCTCTCTCTCTCTCTCTCTCTCTCTCTCTCTCTCCTTCGCCGCCAGGTCTATGATGCAGGGGGTGTCCCCCCGCAAAATCCCTCTCGCGCTCTCAGTGGTCCGGCTGCCCCCGCCGTGCGCGAACGCAAACCCGCAGTTCATTGGCGGATACAGCGGACACGGTGAGGGTTCTATACTCTTTCTTTCGCCAAGGCTAGGGACAAGGGGAAGCTCCCCTTTGCGTAGGAGACCTACTTAGAACCCTTGCTTGCTTGCTTGCACGCCGTTTGGAGAACGAGGTTCCCCTCGCCCCCCTGCGCTCACGCGCTACGGCACTGTCTGTCGTTTGTTGGTCGGCGTGAGACTACTGAAGGAGTCAGCGTTGAAGGACCAGGATGCAAACAAGATAGTTGCCTATGTAACTAGCCCCTTCGCCCATGCAGCGACTACTGTCCCCGCCTTGTCCTAGCCGTTTGTGCCGACTCCCTCTCTGTGTTGTTACTTGGCATCCCCGTCATTGCAGGGATGCTGGCTTGGAGGTGATTCCTTTTGTAGAAACGGTCCCTTACACAGCATTGCATCACAAGGCACAGTAACTTTGTAGCCCCCTCCTTCTTGTTGCATCTATGCTACAGTTTTGGTTTGTGGATTATGTGGGTGTGAGTGTTGGCACGGGTCCCCGGGAGGAAGCAAACGGGAGCAGGGTAATGCAAACCAAGTAGGGGACCAACACATAACTTCAGGGGAGGTCCCCGTGCCAGTGGAGGTTGTGCTGTGGGTGAGCCGTTGCCTGTGGGGAGAGAAGCAAGAGGGTAGGGTAAAACGGGTGCCTAGGGGAACATCACACACTCTCAGGCCCCGGCTCACGTGGGTAGTGGTGGAGGTGTGTTGCTTCTACTTCTATTTGCCTTTGTTGCTGCATGCAGCTTGTATGCAAAAAACAGACCAACTTAAACACCATGTGCAAGTAAAGCCCCGGCTAATCATCGGACATTGCTGCATGCAGCCTTCTGCGCCTATGGGAAGTGGCTTCTTCGCCATCCCCTGCCCCCTCTGTTGTTTCTTCCCCTCGCTCAGTAGGTGGAGCGGCGGTCCTGCGTCTCGTCCTTGCTGTAGTGCTCCGTCGTCGTCTTGCAAGACCGAACGCCTCGTCCTCCGTTTCGGTCCCCGGCATGTCGGCCGAGTCGAGGCTGCAGTTACTGAACTTGCGTCCCCTACTTTGCCTCCCCGCTGGCTTCCACAGCTCATCTTTGGCGCTCTGCGAAGGTCTTGCAGTCCCCTCCTCTGGTCCCCCCGTCGGCGCCGGCGGATTCCATGGCACAGTGTCAGCAAGGGAGCCGCAGGAATCAGTTGCAGAGTCCCCTACGAGCTGGATATCATGGCCCCATAGCCCCCTCGTCCACGACTGAAGTTGGCTAAGAGCCTCTGCAGCGAGCGGTACCTGGTCCCCCACCACTGTTGGCATGAGCTGTGTAACTAGCTGCTGTGCTCTGAGGACCATGTACGCTGAGTGTTCATGCTGCGGCTGGGGTCCCCTGTTCTGCCGCAGTGCTGCTGTTGGCTGGTGGTGCTCGGGGTGTTGCTGTTGTGAGGCTGCGGCTGTGTGGTTTTGCCCTAGTTCGTGCTGCGGCGGGGAATATCCCGTTGGCTGGCGGTGCTCGAGGTGTGGTTGTTGTGAGGTGGCTGTGTTGTTTTGCCCTCGTTCTTGTGGTCTGCCTGCTGATGCGGCGCTAGGCTCCGGGTCCGGCTGCTGCTGGGATGTCCCCGTCCTGCTGCGTTTGCGGGTGGGGCTTGCTGGGGGCTGTCCCCGCTGCTGCTGAGTCAAAGGTGTTGTTTCAGGAACTGTGGCTTCCAGCATATCCTGGCACGGGTTGCGTCCGCCTGTCCACGCCACACTGTTCGCTTGCCCCGTTTCAACGAGGTGGGCAACAGCCAGCATTTCCTCCTGCGTTTGCGTGCTTGGAGCCCCGAAGAGTGGGTGTTCTGTGGGGTGCTGCTGCGGCCTCTGTCGGGTGAGCCGGCTGCCTGTTGGGGGTTGGCTCCCCTCGCTGCTGCGGGAGGTTGCGTTGCATGGGCTCAGTTCTGCCATGCTCCCCTTCTGGCCGGTCTCCTCCATCCTCACTGGCCCAGGCTCTCTCGCTGCGGTTGCCAGAGCTAGAGCTGCTGCTTGTGGTGCGGCTTTGTGGGGGGTGTTGTTCGCGCTGTGGTGTCCCCTTGCCTGGCTGCTGCTGCCGCTGGGTTCTGCTGCCTGGGGTATCTCCGTCGTACACGCTCTGTGACGGGAGGAGAATGTGGTTGTGGTGCGAGACTTCTGTCCCCGCAGGCATCACCGTGGTTGTCCACGCTGCTACGTCACCAGGGTAGCGTTCGAACAGGGTCCACCCGTCATCTTCCCAGATGATGAGGAAGGAGTCCCCTCTTCGCAGCTCCACTTCTCCGGGGTTTTCTGGCTCGCCGTGTTGTCTTCTCCTTGTTTGGTCCACTTCGATGAGCCACGCCGCTGGAATGAGCGAGCTGGTCAGCCCCCACTTTTGCCTGCTGGCAAGTGCTGCGTCCCCTAAGAGTGTAGCGACCAGCCCCGCTCTTACGGGGAACCATTGGTCGTGTCTCGTAGGCCCCGGCGCGTAGAGCACTTGGGGGTATAGCCCCTGGGCAAGGAAGGGCTCCGACTCAGGCGAGGTTGCCAGGATCCGAAGATCCCATCTCCCGCTGCCGCGGTAAAGGCACAGCATCTGCGAGTAGCCACGTGACTTGGGCGAAATTGGGTGGCACGTATACTGCTTCCGTATTGCGCCTGTGTGCGCGGGCCGAGGATGTCGCCGGTACTCTGGTGGACCCCGTCGGGTGCTGGTGCGGGAGGACGCTTGTCGGGCCTCTGCCTGCGGGGCGTGTCCCCGGCCTCGGTCTTGCTTGCTCGCCTCTCTGCTGCGTCCCGTTGGCGGGCTTGGTCTGCTGCTACCGCTGTTGCGCTTGTTCTTTGGCTCGGGTCCCTTCTTTGGAGGTAGGGTCCTCGTTGGGTGGTTCCCTGACTTGGATGGGGTCGTCCCCGCTGAAGGCCGGCTGTGGGCTGTGTTGTGGCTCCGTCCCCGCGGGTGCCGCTTGCTGTGGCTGCCACTGCGCTCGTCCCTCTGCTTGCTGCTGTGCCAAAGTCCCCTGCTTGGAAGTGGGGTCCTCTTGCTGAGGGTCTGCTGCTGCCTCAGGTGTCCCCTGTTGCTGCTGTGGCGGCGCCTGGGAGCTGGAAGCGGCTGTGGAGTCTTTTCCGGGTCCCGCGCTTGGCCGCGGTTGGGGGCGTTTTGTGGGGGGGCTTCCTCGGCTGGAGGTGCAGGTTGAGCAGCTCGGAGAAACGGACTGGTTGGTAGGCCCCCGCTGGGTGCGCTGCTGTGCCTCTGGTGGCTTTGCTGAGCCTCCGTTCTGGCTTCCTGCTCGTGCTGTGCCGTTGTGGCTGGGGTCCCCGACTCCTCTTGGTGTTGCTGACTGCCCTGGGGGGCGCCCCCTCTGGCTGCGCTGCTGTGCCTCTGGTGGCTTTGCTGTGCTTCCGCTCTGGCTTCCTGCTCGTGCTGTGCTGTTGTGGCTGGGGTCCCCGCTGTGGGCTGCTGCTGTGTCTGCGGGGGAGCCCTTTGCGTGCTGGCTGATCCGGGTGTTTGGCTGTGTGGGCTGTGGTTCGGCTGCGGCTGAGTGTCCAGTTGCGCCCTTGGCTGCTGTGCTGGCTGCTGCCCTGCTTGGTTCTGGCTGGGGTCAGTCCCCTGGTCATCCATCGGCGGCTCTGGGAGGTGCGTCTCAGGCTCCGGTTGCGTTGCAGGGCTGGTATGTGCGGCTGGCTGGTCTGCGCCAGGTTGCTCTGGACGGTCGTGGAAGTCGTGCTGTCCCAGGGGGATGTGCCGGGGCGGCGGTTGCCACGGTCTTCTCTTCCTGCTCCATGGCTCCAGCGGGGGCTGCTGGTGGGCTCTCTGTGGGGGGGCTTGCGTCCCCTTCGGCTGGTGTTGGGAACTTCTCGCTCTGCTCGATGCTGCTGCAGCTGCTGCTTGCTCCTCTGCTGTGGGGCCCCCTGCTTGATGCTCTGGTTCCTCAGCCGGCTGTCGGTGCTGCTGCTGTGGTTGTTCGTCTTCATGCTGCCTCTGTGGGGCGAGGTTTGGTCCCCGCTCTGACCTCGTCCCCACTATGGGGTCTGCGTCCTAGCGAGGCCCTGAGTTGCTCCCAGACGTCGTCAGTGCTGTGTGATGGGCTGTCTGCGGCTGCCGTCTCGCCGTGCTCCGGGAGGCCAGCGTCTGGTGGGTAGTCCCCGTCCAATGCTTCGCTCGGGTCGGGGGTGTCGGTTTGGTCCCGGCCAGAGCCGAAGACCTGTCTGTAGACACTGTAGAGGGCCGTTGGTTGGGAGTGTCGAAAGTCTGGTGGCGGTGGCTGTCTCCTCTTCGGTGGTCCCTCCGTCGCTGGTTCCTGGGGGCGCCTCCCCGCTGCTGCTTCAGCGTGTCTTTGCTGGCTGGACTTAGAACCCTCTCTCCCTCTCTCTCTCTCTCTCTCTCTCCCTCTCTCCTTTCGTCATTCTTTGCCCTGCCCCGCCCCGGCCCGGCCCGCTGCGGCCTCAGGGAAGCGGCTGAGCTCGGCGGCCGCTGCCGGCAGCACGGCACCCAAAGCCTCGCCGGCCACGCGCAAAGGCCTCGGCAGCGTGGCAACACACGGGGCTGCTGGCGTGGCCACACCGTGGCTACCGCAAGCTCCAGAAGTGACAGCCTCGTCCTCTTCATGGCAGCGGCACCATCGCCGCAGTCGGCCACGCGCCGAAGCAGAGCTGAGACAAGGGGGAAATCTAGGATGCTGCTTGAAGTGCCAGTGATTCAGGGAGGTCTGAGGAACGTTCTCCGTTCGCTCAGATGCTTGCCAGATGTCAGGTGTTGCCTGCTGCAACTGTGAGGAGCAACAGCGCTGTGATAGTGGACTATTTCTATTTAGACTCAAACGAAACGCAAGTAAGATTCAGCTGCAGAATCGGGGAGCTCTGTCGTCACACCCAGTAGCAAAGGCAGAAACCTGGTTCTACACTCATCGGCGCGATGCCCTGCGCTGAGCCCTGGAATTGAAAGTAGCTTTTGGAGCCTGGCCTGCAACGCGCTGGCTCATGGCACAACAGAGGACAGCTGAAGCACCTCAGGGGTTCAACAGCTGGCATAGATCTACATGTCAGTGCGGTTTTGGAGCCTTTGCTGTGCTTGAAACAGTGCAGGCTTGCAGCGAGACCAAACTCTGCACCTATTCTTCCGCAGGCCTCGTGTCCTCCAAGCATCAGGGCGGCGGCCACAAAAGGGTGTCGGTCCTGTTGCGAGGCTACCCAAGCTGAACTTCAGGGGCCACGGCCCGACAGAGATTTCGGTTTGCTGCGGCTTCTCTACATGCAAGAGCAAATACTGACCTGCCCTGCCCTATTTGGAGCAATGCAGAAACCGATCCTGGTGATTTGACACTTGGTGGGGCCGCTGGCGGTCGCCAGCCAGCCAAGGCAGCCATGTACCGAGGGGATCCAGGATCAAACCACAGCTTAGTCTGTGGTTTGCCATTCCATGCGATTGCTCTTGCTAGGATCCCATTCCTCAGCACCCTTTAACTTCATAACTCAAAGCTTCAAGAATCATCTGGGAGCTTCAAGAAGCTGGGCGAGTCATCATGACAGTTCGCCAGGAAATCAACATGGCTGCAACAGAGCCGAAAGCTAAGGGGGAGCGGAGCATTCAAAGCGGACCGTCCTCAGGCCATGACTCAAGGAAACATGCCGAGCTCGGTGCATCGTAGTCAGTCCCCAACACAAGAGGCCGCTCCTGTCATCTGGTGCTGAGCTTCGACGACAGCTTGCTTTCACACTCAACGGTCCGACAGCTGTGGGGATGTCGAGTTCGGGGATTCTCCAGGGAATGTTTGGGGATTGCGGGTGAGGCCACAGTTCCTCCCGTCGGTTACCCTTTCCTTCTTGCTGCTGACAAACCCCAACCCGAATTCCTTCAAGGCCTCTACGACTGAAACTGAGGACCGGACAAACGTCGGATCGTAGTTGACGGGTTTGTCATAGCCGGTGATTTGCACGGTGGACGAGCCAGGCTGGGCAGGAAGGGCCGGGCAAAGGCAGCAGGCTACGGTCGCCAAGCAGCAAATTCGACTTGCAGCTCCTACTGGTCCTACTGCCAGAGGAAACGAGCTATGCACCGTTTCTCATGCAGTAGATTGGACAGGCTCAGGCCAGCGCTGATGTGAAATCACCTCGGCTGCGTGTCAGCGAACCCCGTGGCGTGTTGAACAAAGGATGAAACTGATGAAACCGCGGTAGATCTCGGCTGTGTGGCTATAGTAGTTCGTGTCCAGAATCTCCAGGATGGTGGGCGGGTTGAAGTCCTTACGCACGGCCTGACACCAGACCTGAGGGGCCAGAAATCTCAGCCGCTCCCTTCCTGGCGCATTGCCGGGCTGAGGTCAGGGCGGTGCCCGTCTCGCTCAAACTGCGATAGTCGAGCTCAGACAGGAACATCGACATGAATACACGGTTTATATCAGGGTGAGAGAGAGAGAGAGAGAAAACAAAAACAAAAGAGAGAGCGAGAGATAGAGAGAGAGAGAGAGAAAGAAAGAAAGAGAGACAGAGAGACAGAGAAAGAGAGAGAGAGCCAGAGAGGCAGAGAGACAGAGAGACTGGGAGACATGGAGACACGGAGAGAGGGCGAGAGGGGCAGAGGGGGAGAGAGGGAGAGAGAGAGGGAGAGAGACAGAGAGACCGAGAGACAGAGAGACGGAGAGGAAGAGACAGAGAGACGCTGAGAAAGGGAGACGGGGAGAGGGAGAGAGAGAAAGAGAGCGAGATAGAGCGAAAAAGAAAAGATCCGTAAACCCCCAGATGCAAGCGACAAGCAACCAGCAAACCAGAGGGGGTGGATGTTGGCCAAACACCCACGCAAGCGATGTGGAACGTCCGCACTTAGCGGGCGGATGTTGGCCCGACATCTGCGCTTAAGGGGCGGATGCTGGCTCAACATCCACGCATGTGGTGTTGATATTGGCCCAGCATCCTGCTTAGGCGGTGGAGGTTGCCCAATCACCATCATCATACAAGCCAGAGAAGTCCAGTTCCTGACTCTCCGGCCGGTTGCCTCACAGTGACGTTGATGTTCGTCTCGTCGCTCGCGAGGCTGATCTCGGATGGTTCATGGCTTCGGCGGCTTCGGCTTCGGGGTCCCATGCTCCAGAAAACTCCTACAACTCGGAAGTCGGCTTTCTGCGACGCTCGAGCAGTGCGAGCTGCTGTGAGCTCGCAAGATTCGATGCGACCAGTAGGGCGCAGGCCGGGTTGATGGTCGGCGGCGTCAGGTCGAGCGTCAGAATCTCAAGGGACAAGCTCCAGTGTAATGTTCTCGTGTCGCGTCAGGACAAGGTTTCGAGCATTCAAAAGCAGATGTAGACTATGGGTGCATGGTGGGAGGGGGGGGTGCGTAAGCTCAGCCCCAAGGCTTGACGAACCGGCTAGGCGAGCCGCCTGGCCCACAGCAGTCATGAAGTCGTCGACAGCCTGGAATGACACCTCGTTGCCATTTCCTGGGATCCACCAACGACAGGCCCCAACTACTCTCAGGAGCTCGCAGCTCTCATGTCACTCATGTCACACGCATGCGCAGCAGCGAGCACAATGCCCTGCTTCAACAGGCTCCTACTGAGATCCGGTCCCACAGTCATGTTGGGCGTCGCAGCGTTCGCCAGCAACCAGTTTGGAGATTTATCAACTGCACACACGATGCAACGATGCAACTGCTTTCACGGCTTTCTGACATCGGAGCTACAAGCTACAGGAAGGGACAGTGAAAAACTATGGCATGCTGCTTCAGCCACAATCTCCAGGACACCTCACAGCGTCTCGTTTGCGGCCCTCCAAGACTGTTGTCGACAAACTAATCACGGTGTGGAAAATCAGCAGAACCGATCGGCACGCCTGAGTTTTGAGTCTCCAATTTCCAGTCCTGGGTCACATTTGGCTCCAAGGAATCTAGGACTCTAGGATGTAAAGCGGACCTGCGGCACTGGGAGCCGCGCATCTTCTGCGAAGCAGAAGACGTTGTATGGCCTCACAGGCCGGGTCCATAGGCGACCAGACAGCGAGGACGAGGATCAGCGAGGTGCATGGTTGTTGCAGTGCGCTAAAAACGCCCAAATCCCACAAATCCACAAGTCTGAGAACGGCCAGACTGCCATACATCCGCTCGGTGGAAGCTCAGCTGCCCACGACTCGCTGAGGAGCAGGGAGGAAGCGGTTCCAGCCTTATCGGACTTCGTCCACAACAGAGTTCATGGACTGCTTCGAGCTTGGAGGATGTTAAACTCTGGGGGGGAGTACAGCAGCGCATCAAAGATGTGTGCTGCAGCATGGGAGGTGAGGGGGCGTCGGACACTCTTGGACGCGGGCATCGTCGTCGACATAGTCCACCTCACAGCCAGAGATTTCTTTCGAGCACACAAAGAAATAAAACCCCTGCAAGCATCCCTGCAGCCTCTACATCCACGTTCCGATAGGGCTGGTGGACGTACTCCATGAAAGGCGTGTTCCTTGCTGCTGGTGCCGGTGCTGCCCCACAGTGAATGTCAAACTCGAAAGGGTGAATCGACCAGGGGAGTATGGGGGCAAACAGCAGGGCCAGCCACAGGGAGAAGCAAGTCCCTAGCTTTAGCATCTAAAGGAAACCCATGCTTGTGAAAGATCCATTTCGGAGAATCAAGCTCAGCGCCCAGCGCCCCCCTGATCTTCGTAATGTAGTTTCCAGCCTCTGGAAGCCCATCGGAAACACTCACAGGCTACACCATGCCGACACCGAGATTCTCTGGTGCATACTGGTCTCGGACCCAGCCCCTTCGCTCACAGCACAAGACACACAGCCCCGGGCGTCCACATCCAAAACGTCCAGATTGGCATCGGCTGCAGGCAGAACCGGTTGGCACCACACGGTTCCGGGCCTCGTCGGACCAAAGAAGATCCGGGCTTCAGAGAGTGCAAATGGTACTGAGCACCGTCTCTGAGTATTGGGAGCATTTTTGGAGGAGGCCATTAACGCAGTTGGGAGGCGCATGCTGGTGGTCTCCGCTGCGACCAAAGCACAGAAATTCCCTCTTTCTTGGGTGTGATGCGTCTTGGCTTTGAGCTGTTGGGAATGGAAGCGAGCCGGTTTGGGGGGGGTAGGTAGCTCTCACCCGTCCTGTCCCGGTCCCGTGAAATCAAGAGCCGTGCTCGTCCAGCTGAAGCGTGATCTGCAGCTTGCTGTCTGTGATGGCCTGGACGGCTGCACTGCTGCCATTGTGCTCTGATATCTCTGTCGAATAGTTACCACAAAGCTAACCTAAGCTCGGATACCCGAAAGACCCATTTGAAGACTGCCAATATTGAATACAACCACGCAAGAAATCTTCGTGAAGCATGCCCTCTCTACCTCGGAGGTCACGTAAATAAGCGTCGGCGGTGTGGTGTCCTTGAGCCAGACGTAGCCTCGGAATCAGGAAATCTGTTTTCGGTTTCTGCTGGCCGGTGGACAACGTGCCTGCAGGAGTGGCTTGGGGCCTCGCGGGTGCGTCCTCCGGCTGGGGCGGTCATGAAGTTGGCTCCCACGTCAGTGTCCACGTAGCTCTGGCGGCAAATGATGCACTCGAGATGCTAGAGGGACTTGCGCGAGCAAGACATTGCAGGATCGTGGCCGGACGAGGCGGCAATCCTTACGCTTGGCTCTAGCGACCAGCGGGGGCTAAGAGATGCCGCCTGTGTCATGTAGTTCGGGCGCGGATGCCCGTACGTGTCGACCGCGCTGTCCTGAATCGGGCTGGGCGACAGAGGACTGACTCTTGCCCACGTCTTCCCAAAAAGCTCTGCTGGCAATGTCGCAACTTCGCAGATGTGTCAGCGGACGACAAATAACTTTCCGGAAGAAGCCAGCGTCAGCACATATCAGCATTGAAACAATCCTACACACTGAAGGTGCTCACAAGTCCGACCTTTACACAGGCACAACAGGCTATGTCCAGTTCTCTGAATTCAGAAACCGGACAGACTGGACGCAACTCGATCGCTCCTTCGCCCAGCAGTACACGTCGTACTGGTTGCCCTCGTACAGGCCTTGCCTGGGTTGGAGTTCAAGTTCAGGCAGTCGGTGGGCGGACGGCGAGGGGCTTTGTTGCAGGTCCCACTCGCAACTCAGGCCATCTTGTTTCTACGCTGCAGCCGCAGGCACGTGTCGCTCGCCTCAATCTTGTCAATGGTGATGTCATTGTCAATGTTGGGACCTGTTCAGACCGTCAGCGAAATGCCTCTGTGTGTGTGTGTGAGTGTGAGTGATTGTTTGTGTGTGTGTGCGCGTGCGCACGTGTATCTCTGTGTGTATCTGCGTGTGTCTGTGTGTCTCTGTTTATGTCTGTGTGTATCTCTGTGTATCTGTGTGCATCTGTGTGCATCTGTGTGTGTGTGTGTACACGCCTG